CGCTTTTAGCTATGAATTCATTTAATTTAATGAAATATTATATAAAACAATGAGTTTATGTTAAAAGAAAATTGAACATTAGAATGTTCAGACGAGCTCTCAAAGGTAAAAAGAGCTAAAATAAATTTCTGCTGAATTAGAGGCAACAACAAAAAAAGGGTAAATAGAAGGAAAGTGTAAAACTACAGGTTCTCCACTCAGATGCCTTATAAGTACTTTATATTCACACTACAAAGAAACTAGAAGAGGAAATCTAAGACCGGTGGTTTTCAATAGGGCAGTACTGACCTCTAGGGGTTGTTCTGGAAACTTGTGGGGCATTTTCTGTTGGATTTCACTGCTTGTATTGAGGGGATGGTGAGGATGGATGTTAGACATCTGAATGACCTACACAACTATGGGAGGCTCGCTGAGTGTTCGAACACGCTTAAGAAATAAAAAAAAGAAAGCCTGCTTTTCTTTAAAGGAGGTGAAGTATAACTGCCCATCAGGTGTGGGTAACCTCACATACTGAGTTCCTTCCAAACAGTACAGCGTGGAAAGTGGTTTGCAGCGGGAAAACTTGACAAACGCTACCTTGCAGGGTGATTAAGGTTAACATCAACAGTGGTCCATCTTGAACCAGCAGTTAGCATAATGGCTATGTCGCTCGACTCCCACGTAGTCAACTGGTTAGCGTCCCGGACCCGGTGGCTTAAAACTCACTCCGGGCGCATGTGCGTGCGTGCCCAAGATCCCGAGAGGAGAATGGAGGAGGGATTGCTGCGTGACCATCCCCCTGGGGGGTGATTTATCGCTTTCTGTCTCTATGTCTTTGTCTGGTGAGCGCACACGCCCTATAGCGAAAACCTCTCCAAAAACAAACAAACAAACAGTGGTCCATCTTGCTAGTAGGAACCTTTGATCTGATGTGATGAGAAAGGGTCATTTCCTAAAAACCCATAACCTCAGTTTCAGCAGGAGGGGAAAAATCCCAACTGGAAAACACTCTATAAGATATGTAAATCATGAGTATTATTGGCCCAAAGAGAAAAACACTGAAAATGACAGGATGGGAAAGATGGAAGGAATCAGGAGTTCTTGTGGTCTCTGAACTATCAACCCATTTTACAATCTCTGAAGTGCTTGCTACATCAGAGTTGGGTATTTTCGTATTGCCAGCAGCAAGCATCCTTACTGATAGACTCCTCTTCACAAGCAGTTGTGTAGCCAAGGCTTATTCATATCCATTGTGCTGTGAACTGAACGTTTGTGCCCTCCCCAGATCCATGTGGAGGCCTAACCCCCAATGTGAAGGCAGCTGGAGGTGGGGCCTTTGGGAGTTAATTAGGTCATGAGGGTAGAGAGAGCCCTCATGAAAGGGTTTAATTTGTTAAGAAACACAGGAAAGTTTGCAAATATATTCTCCTATTCCAAGGGTTGTAGACTCACTAACTGCAGTGTGGGAAGAGGTTGGGAGCTGGAGGAGAGTGAGAGGAAGGGAATCAATGAGAAAAATAGAGAGCTGGGACATCTGGACGACCCAGAAGTGGAGGACCATCTGTTGATAACAGCGTGTACGGTATCTCTAACTGGACTGGTGTGCAGTGTGATCATGCTGGGAAAACTCATTTTACAAGCTGCATTGATGTACAGTGATTAAATGTACAAAATAAATCTTAAAAATTAAAATACTAAAAAAAAAAAAAAAAAATAGGAAAGGTGATCTCCCTGGACCATGTGAAGACAGAGAGAAGGGCCTTGTCTATAAGCCAGGAAGGGTGCCTTAACTGGACACTGGATCTGATGGGGCCTTGATTTTAGCTTTCTGACCTCCAGACTGAAAAATAAATGTTTGTTAAGCCACTCGGTTTATAGTACTTTTGTTAGAGCAGCCTAAACTAAGATGCTCTTTATGCAAAATATTGGTCAAAATACCGTGTAAGGAAGTCACAAGTGATTCTCTTTCAACCACCAGTTCTTTTTTTTTTTTTTTTTTTTTTTTTTTTTTTGCGGTGTGGGGGAGGTTTTTGCTTTTTCACTATAGGGCACATGCGCTCGCCAGACAGAGACATAGAGACAGAGAGCGAGAAATCACCCCCCAGGGGGGATGGTCACGCCGCGATCCCTTCTCCTCCATTCTCCTCTCAGGATCTTGGGCACACATGCACACGAACCCGGCATGAGTTTTAAGCCACCGGGTCCGGGACGCGAACCGCGCTCGACTACGTGGGAGTCCAACGACAAAGCCATTATGCTAACTGCTGGTTCCCTCCAACCACCAGTTCTTAATTCAAACCACATCTTATTATAACCGAGGCCGTTTTAGCTGCGGGCTCATGGGAGACTTATTCTACAATTGTATCTACAGAACAGTACTCTCACATCACGGAAAACAAAACGTATTTCTTGTGCTCTAGTTCATCCTTTTATATTATCACGTCTCAGATAATTTTGAAGTAAACTGTTCCGTTCCCTAGCAAGGTCTGGTGACATGTAAATGGGAATGAACTTAAGGAAGACACAAGGGTTATCTTTTGGCAAGTCTTACTTTGGGGCTGGGAACTTCTTTAGGTAGTTGGAGCGAGTAGAGTTGGCCTCTCTCCCTGGAAATCAGCTGAAATGACTGCATTTGATTCTAGTAGCCCTCTCGTTTACTAATTCTACTACTCAACATGTGAAACTGGTCTTCATTAGCGCTTATGACTCATCTTCTGATATTGGGCCTTCCTTCTCTCTGCACTTTATCTGTCACAATCCTTTATTCCGCATTTACCTTCCTCTTTCCACCTTTCCCATACTTGATTCACAGACTGTACAGAACTACGTTTATTCCTGGTTCAGAATGATCCTGCGAGCCTTTTCAAATCCTTTCAGTACTCCCTAAAGACAGCCTTTATTATTTTCTTGTAAACAGCATGACGGGCAGAAGTTCACAAATTGAACAGAGTCTTATTTAGCTTTTACTTCAGTCTATAAGTACTGCTCTTTGTTTGAACTGCTCACATAACCCCATCTCATCCAAAAAGGAAATGTGAAGTGCTTCTAGCTATCAGTACAAGCACAAACAGCATGGTCTACCCAAGGTCTTCCACTAGAATCTACAGAAAATTTAAATGCAGTTCACCCACAGACTGCATGTTTTTATTTTCTAGGCCATCTGATAATTTCAAAATCACATGGGATTAGAAAAAAAAAAAAATCCATGGGGCCAGCTGATGGCATAATGGTTATGTTGCTGTACTCACAGTTTGTGCTTCAGACCCAACGGCTTAAAACTTATGTTAGGTGAGTGTGCATGTGTGCCCAAAATCCTGAGAGGGGAGTAGAGAAGGGATTGCGGCGTGGCCCTACCCCTGAAGGGTGATTTCCTGCTTTCTGTCTCTGTCTCTCCAGTGAGTACAAGAGCCATACAGGAAAAGTCTCTCTTAAAAAAAAAAATTCCATGAAATGTCAATCACGGTGAGAAAGACAGTACACTGAGCTGATTTCTGATAACTATGTCTTGTTATCATTCAACATAATTTATCGGAAGTGATTACTGGCATCATGAAGACCTCAGGGTAGGGAAGACTCTTCACAAATAATACGGATTGAGTACCCTTCATCTGTAATGCTTGGGAACACAAGTGTTTCAGATTTTTATATATTTGCATATACACAATGAGGTAGCTTGGAGATGGGGCCCAGGTCTAAACACAAATTCATTTATGTTTCATATCTGCTTGATACACAGCCTGAAGGTAATTTTATACAGTATTTTGTATTGAAGCGTTTAGACTGTGACCCATCACATCAGGTCAGGAGTGGAATTTTCTAACTGCAGCAGCATGTCAGTGCTGATCAAGTCTCAGATTCTGGACGTTTTGCATTGGAGATTTCCGGATGAGGGGTGTTCAACCTGTATAAACATCACTTGTGCAGGAATAACTTGGTGCCCCTACAGCAGTGTTGTGTTGTAGATTTTTTCCCTCTTGCTTCTCCCCTCACTTTGGTACCCAGACCTGAGAGCCAAGAGTACAGTGCTCAAGTTCACTGAAGGTTTTTACAAGAGACTAGCGGAGGAGGCATTCTGAGACACTGGTTTTGAGATATAATCTAAATGCTAAAAATGACAATGAGATCTTAAGGATTTGAGCCCCTTTTTTTAAAAAAAGGAATTATTGTTATTTTAATTTGCTATAGGGCACGTGTGCTCACCAGAAAGAGACAGGAAGAGGGAGGAAGGGAGGAACACTCAGAGAGAGAAAGAGAGAGAGAAAAAGAGAAAGTGAAAAGCAAGCCACCAGGTCTAGGATTCAAACCACGGTCAGTCATGTGGGAGTCCAGCGCCTTCACCACCATGCCAACTGCTGGCCCCACTGGAGTCTATTTAAAGTTATTTCACGTCGAGTCTGCCTTCTTTCCATAGGACCGTTGGGAGTACCGCGAGAAAGTGTGCTATGGCCTAGCAGCCCAGGGTCTGGGCACCCAGTAGACATCATTCACGCCTTCCTCCAGCTTCTCAAATAAATGAGGTTAGTCCTTGAACTTTGAAACTATTTTTTAAAATAAAAAGAAATCAGTTTTTCTCTCAGTATCCTTGTCAGCATGATTCTGAATTGCTCTCAAGAGTGCATTCTCTTTTGTAAAATAAACACTTTATATTGTTTGAAGTACACATGGAATTTCATTTTTGTTCAATGTTCTTTTTCTATTGGGAAGAATTATTTCTGAGAGGTTAAAACCCCAGAAGATAACTACAACAAAGATAAGTTAAATGGTTTTTTATGAAAATGATGATTCAAAGACAGACTTGAAGGAAAGTAATATTTAAGAGCTAGAAGAAAGGATATATAGCCTCTGAAGGGAACTGTTCTAATTATTACCTAAAAAGCAAAGTTAGACAACTACAGTCAAGGACATAAGGAAAAGCACTATTTAAAACCAGAATGACTGAACGGGAGGGAAAAAAAAACAGCCAGAAGAGGAAAGGGAAATGTCTCAATTCGAATTAGACAAGATCCATTAGTCCGAAATGCTTCTGGTTTCTGAATTATCTTGACTCACACACTGTTTATTTTTTATTTGTCTTCACTGACTTCGTAAAGGAACATTCCCACAGAATTAAGTAATTGTTATCATTTTGTTAGGATTCAAAATTTCAATCCAGTAGCCATCAGGATCTTGAATAAATGCCAGGCCTTTCATTTTACCTGTAAAATAAACAATTTCATGATTGAAAAGACTAAGGAAAAAATTAAAACCTTAAAAACAAAGAAATTTCGTTAAATCAATTGAATCTCATTTTAATGAGGTACATGTTGTTGACAGTTTTACTTTTTAAAAATCCTGTATTGTCAGTGTTGCCCAAATGCCTGTTCTTCATAATGACTAAAATGCTATCTTCCACACATAACTAGAGACCAGCCTTCCTAAAGTAAACTGTGGGACTGGCATCATTTTTTAGGTATCAGGTATTTACCTCACCTTCATGATACTATTCCATGTCTCTAGTTCATTAATCCCAGAAATCGTCTTATTTTAAAGATGAACAAGGAAATGGAGAGGTACTCAAGGGAGCGGTAACATGGCTTACCCACACAACCAAAAGACACAGACTCTTGGGTCATCCAAATGCTTTAAAACTACAGTGGGTAAAACAAGTCCTGCCAATCAGATTCTTCTTCCCAGGAATTCATATCTGGGTTTGAGAGGCTAATATGCCTGAGTTGCTTACTAAAATGAAAAAATGTGACCTCAGATATTTATTTTGGGATCAAGATACTGAAGTGGTGGGAACCAGCAGTTAGCGTAATGGCTATGTCGCTGGACTCCCATGTAGTCGACCGCGGTTCACGTCCCGGACCCAGTGGCTTAAAACTCACGCCGGGCGCGTGTGCGTGCGTGCCCAAGATCCTGAGAGGAGACTGGAGGAGAAGGGATTGCGGCGTGACCATCCCCCCTGGGGGGTGAGTTCTCACTTTCTGTCTCTATGTCTCTCTCTGTCTGGCGAGCGCATGCGCCCTATAGCGAAAACCTCTCAAAAAAAAAAAAAAAAAAAACAAGATGCTGAATTGGCTTGACTCCTGTCTTTGGCTTTTTTCCCCCCAAGATTAACCCCAGAAGAACACAGTGAAAAAGGGTGGGTGTGGGGGGAAGAACAACCCCAGGTGGTCGAGGGAAGACAGATGGAGAGAGCAATGAGTGAGGAGCGCGTGGGGCAGCGGTTTTAACCTTGCGTGTGTGGGGGCTGGCCCAGAGGCAGTGCACCATGGCTGCAGGAGAATTTATGGAAGTTTTGCTTTTGTTTCCCCCACAGAGCCTTAGCCATCGACACCTGCCCTCTCACTTGTTGGGGGGCCCAAATCAATGGTTCAAATGCCCTTGGTAGCAAATAAGACTTATGCTTAGGAAGAACTGAGCAAACTGTGGGACTGGCATCAATTTTTAGGTATCAGGTATTTACCTCACCTTCATGATACTATTCCATGTCTCTAGTTCAAAAGATGTTACATGAGATATATGAAGAGGTCAAATACTTTTGATATATTTATTGTTATTTAAAAAAAAGCCAAAGAAATGCAATATCAATAAGACCCCAGTCTAGGTATTAGTAACATAATGGAAGAGAGGGAAGCAAGTTCTCATTGGAGAGAAGATGTGAATATTAAATATTATATTTTATTTTATTATTTTTTTGGCTATTTTTTTTTAAAGAAGTTTTTGCTATAGGGAACATGTGCTCGCCAGAAAGACAGAGAGAAACAAGAGACAGAAAGCGAGAAATCACCCCCCAGGGAGGATGGCCACGCCACAATCCTTTCTTCTCCATTTTCCTGTCAGGATCTTGGGCAAGCACACACATGTGCTTGGCATGAGTTTAAGCCACCAGGTCCGGGACTCAAACTGCAGTCGACTACATGGGAGTCCAGTGACATAGCTATTACGCCAACTGCTTGTCCCAAATATTAAGTATTTTAATAAGAGAAAATGAAAATATAACAGCAAAATGTTTTAAATTAAAATTGACATAATAAATGATGTCAGCAAAACCAGATCTAAGTAAAATAACTACAATACAATTAAATCCAATAAAATCTAGATACATGTTATCTCATGAGACATACCTTAAAACATAAAGACATAGAAAGGTTGTGAAGAATGAAAACAAGGGCCAGAATGCCAGACCTGGAAGCTTAAGAAACATGCCAGGCACAGGTGTGTGCATGCCCAAAATCCAAAAGGAAAGAGAAACAAAGAAGAGATTGCAACAAAGGAGAGAGAAAGGGAGAAGGAACAGCAACATGACCAGGCCTCATGGGGAGGGGGTTTCTTTTCTCTGGCGAGTGCATGCACACTCTAACAACAACAAAAAGGCAAAAAGGAAAAAGCAGATTGAAAAAAAATCAGGACTGACTTCATTGCCTGCTAGTTAAGGAGCTGGATCCCACATGGCACACTATGGTTTGAATCCCAGTCCCAGTGGCTTGAAAAACATGCTGGGTGTGTATGCTCCAAATCCCAACAGGATGGAGAAATGGAAGAGAAAGAATTGTGGAGTGACCACCCATCACTGGGAGGTTCTTTCTTCCTCTCTCTCTCTGTGTCTCTCTGGCAAACACATGTACCCTCTGGCAATTTTTTTAAAAATGAAAGAAAGAAAAAGAAATATTGAGCAATTATTAACTAAAGAGAACTAGTGGAGACATTAATATTAGATAAAACGGACTTTAAAGAACTTACTTTTGGGGGACCAGCAGTTAGCGTAATGGCTATGTCGCTGGACTCCCATGTAGTTGACCGCGGTTCGAGTCCTGGACCCGGTGGCTTAAATTCACGCTGGGCGTGTGCGTGTTGTTGCCCAAGATGAGAATGGAGGAGAGGGGATTGCGGCGTGACCATCCCCACTGGGGGGTGATTTCTCGTGTTCTATCTCTCTCTGGCTGGTGAGCGCACTTGCCCTATAGCAAAAACCTTTCAAAAAAAAAAAAAAAAAGTAAAAGAACTTACTTTTGGAACCAGCAGTTAGCATAATGGCTGTGGCGGCGGACTCCTATGTAGTTGACCGCGGTCCAAGTCCCAGACCTGGTGGCTTTAAACTCATGCCGGACGCATGTGTGTGTGTGCCCAAGATCCCGAGAGGAAAATGGAGAAGGGATTGTGACGTGGCCATCCCCCCTGGGGGGTGATTTCTCGCTTTCTGTCTCTCTGTCTCTGTCTTTCCGGCGAGCATATGCTCCCTATATCAAAAACCTCTCAAAAAAAAAAAATAAATAAATAAAGGACTTATTTTCGAGTGGTCAGATTCAGCGACCACTGCAGTGAAAGCTGGTGGTCAATGAAAGAATATGGTAGGGCTACGGTATGAAAAAGGGAGCCCAGGCTTTTGGTGTTCTCCAGGTCCTTGCCCAGTTCCTTGTAAAGCCACCCTAGCTCCTGTCTTTCATTTCCCTAAGATACCCAGGAACTCTAATAACTTCTCTCCTTTTTTTTGGAGCGGTTTTTGCTATACGTGTGTGTGCTCGCCAGAAAGACAGAGAGAGACAGAGAGACAGAAAGCGAGAAATCACCCCCCAGGGGGATGGCCACGCCACAATCCCTTCTCCTCCATTCTCCTCTCGGGATCTTGGGCACGCACGCACACGGGCCTGGCGTGAGTTTAAGCCACTGGGCCTGGGACTCGAACCATGGTCGAGTACGTGGGAGTCCTGCGACATAGCCGTTACACTGACTGCTGACCCCTCCCTTCTTTTAAGCTGATTTGCAATCAAAAGAATTTTACTTTATTAGTGCTCTCTACAGGTGCTTAGTAAATACTATTTAATTAAATTAAGGCCTAAACACAATAAGTAGTGGACTTACCATCATCAGGTTTCTTGACAAATTTGACCCCTAGCTGTTCAAATCTTGCACAAGCACCATGTACATCTGGAACAGCAATTCCAATGTGACCTTAGGTGATATCCCCAAAAAAAGGCAGAGAGAAGGAAAAAACAGTTATAGCAGAATACCCAAGTAACACAACTGTCTTCTAAAACTTGTTTCAATGAATATGATTCTAACTGGCTGGGTATAATGAATTAATTAGTTGCTCTGAATTTTAAGTTAAATAAACTAATATTGATGTATATATATAACTGTATATACATATAAGAATAATCTACAAAAATGTAATCATTTACTCAATAGTTTTGTTTTGGCTCCAGCAGGTAGTGTAGTGGTTAAGGCACTGGATTCCCACATGGCTGACCATGGTTCGACTCCCAGACCCAAAAGCTTGAAAACCATGCTGGGTTCATGTACATGGATGTCCCAAAACCAAGAGGAGACTGAAGAAGGGATTATGGCATGGAGAAGTGATTTTTCACTTTCCTCTCTTTGTCTCTCTCCAGTGAGCACATGTCCTTATGGTAAAAACCTTAAAAAAAAAAAAAAAAAAAAGTTTGTTGTTGGTACTATATAGTAGCCAATTAAAAAGTCTGTACTCCAAAGGCTGGCAGGTGGCAGCATGGTGGTTGGGATGCTGGACTCCTACATGGCCAACTGCAGTTCAACTCCTGGATCTGGCGGCTTGCTTTTTCACTTTCTCTGTCTGTCTGTCTGTCTCTCAGACCTGGTAGCTTGTTTTCTCACTTTCTTACCCCACCCCCCATCACCACATCTTTTTCTGGTGAGTATGTGTGACCTATAGAAAAAATAAAAAAAAAAAAAAAAAAAAGATAATAAAATTAAATAAATAATTCTTGGGGGAAAAAAAATGTCTGTAATCCAGGGCCAGAAGGTGACATGATGGTTAAGGCGCTGGACTCCCACATGGCTAACTGCAGTTCGAGTCCTGGCGCCTTGCTTTCTCACTGTCTCTCTGACTGGTCAAATTTAATGAAGTAAATAAAATAAATAAATAAATAAATAAAATTAAATAAATAATTCTTAAAAGAAAGTCTATAATCTTGTAATCGTAACAGAGATTTTGGATCAAAGCAGAAATGTATGTTAGCAAAAATTAGGATTATTAGCAGCATAGGGCTTTTTAAAAAAAATTATACTGAAAATATAGGGGAGTATCTTCAAGTTTGTGGAAATGCATATTCTGAAAAAACTACATGTGGATTTTAAAATAATTTGCACCAAAATAAAATTCATACTTTAACTCCATTTCCCATAAACTTTCTGAAGTATTTCCATATAATACTGCAACTAAAAGGTAAAAATCAATGTGAGAGAGTCAATGTAAAGCTTTGACTGAAACTCTGACATTAAATTCCTATGTAAGATTATGTGTGACTGAAAATAACCATATTTCCAATAAACTGACTATACTTAATAATGTTAATTATGCCATTAGTATCTTATAGACTTATTATAATCACAATATATACACAAAGCAAAAATCACATAAATCCATATGCATTAACTATAAATTGGCAAACGTACCAAAACCTCGAGGGTCTGAATTGCCATTGTGGTAATTCTGGGTCTTATCATCTTCAGTACCCCAATTGCTACAAAAGGAGAGAAAACATAAGTACGAGTTGTAAATATAAATACAAGAAAATATAACTACAAGTTTATCTGTCCTATAGAACAGATACTCTGAGAAGAAAGTTGCAACACTCTGTTTTTGGAATCTAACCATGTATATGTGCTACTTCACACACTTAGCTTAACCCCTGTAGGGTCACTATTTTCAACTCCAGAAAGGGCGAATGGGCAAAGTACAATTTCAATGAGACTAAGACAATAAAAGCCAGGCAGTGGATAAAACAAACAAATATAAGAATGGCAACTCTCAGATACTGTTCTAAGTATTTTGTATTTTATTAGACCATCAATACAGCTCTAGGGGCTAGATATGAATAGCTCCATAGTATAGAGGAGACTGACACTGACACTTAGGGAGGTGATAAAACTCATTCAGGGTCACAGAACTAGCATCAGAGCCAAAGCTCATGTCTCAATTTGTCTGATTCCAAAACTCTGAATCAAGAGACACATAAGAACCACACACCCTGAAATAAATGCTCTTTGGCTAGTTGTTTTTTTTTTTTTTTTTTGGAGAGATTTTCACTGTAGGGCGCGTGCGCTCGCCAGACAGACAGAGAGAGACATAGAGACAGAAAGCGAGAAATCACCCCCCAGGGGGGATGGTCACGCTGCAATCCCTTCTCCTCCATTCTCCTCTCGGGATCTTGGGCATGCACGCACACGCGCCCGGCGTGAGTTTTAAGCCACCGGGTCCGGGACATGAACCGCGGTCGACTACGTGGGAGTCCAGCGACATATCCATTACGCTAACTGCTGGTTCCTATCTTTTGCTAGTTGCTAAAAGAGCGTAGAGAAACAACATAAATTAATAAGGAAGAAAAGGGAACACCTATTTCTGTATTTTTAAATATTGAAATTACAAATATAACTTAAAATTTGAATGTTAATTACTACAATATGGTTTGATGACTTTTTAAAGAAATACATGAAACATTTCTTGGTCAAAAATGCAGCAAAATATAAAAAGAATGAAATTTTGAATGCTAGCGGACTTTAGCTATAGTACCTAAACATTAGTAAGGTAGGGTTTGGCAAATATCTTGCCATTTCAGGGTCATAAATTCTCTATCTAAAAGATAAATCATCTCACTTGCCTTACCTATGGTATAAGAACAATATACAAACTACAAGATCCATGTAGAAACACTTAAGCATACAGTTACACGTGAAAAATTAGGAGGCAGACCCTGTTTGAATTAAAGCAATAAGCTAAACAAACGAAAAAAGATTTTTAAAAAGTCATCTTAAAAAATACAGAATAGGGGGGCCAGCAGTTGGCGTAATGGCTATGTCACTGCACTCCCATGTAGCTGGCCACGGTTCGAATCCTGGACCCGGTAGCTTAAACTCATGCCAGGCACATGTATATGTGTGCCCAGGATCCTGAGAAGAGAAGTGAGAAGGAATTGTGGCGTGGCCATCCTCCCTGGGGGGTGATTTCTCACTTTTTGTCTCTCTCCGTCTTTCTGGTGCGTGCACACACCTTATAGCAAAAACTTTTCAAAAAAAAAAAAAATACGGAATAGGCCAGCCACCGGTATGGTGGCTAAGGCAGCTGGATCCCACACGGCCGACTGCACGCTGGAGTTCTAGACCAGGCAGTTTAAAAATAGACCGGGCACTTACACATGAGTCTATAAACTCCTGAGAAGAGAATGGAAAAGGGATTGCTGCACGGTCATCGCCTGTGGGGAGTAATTCCTCACTTTCCCTCCCTCTTTCTCTCTCCAGTGAGTGCATACGCCCTCTAGCACAAGGCAGGGGTCAGCAGGTGGCATGGTGATAAGGCAATGGACATTCCCACATGGCAGACCAAGCTTCGAGTCCTAGACCTGGTGGCTTGCTTTTTCACTTTCCCTCTCTTTCTCTTTGTGTGTCTCTCTCTGGTCAAATTAAAATAAATGAATGAATAAGTAAAAATTAAATAAATAATTATTTAAAAACAAAACCACCCCCCCCTCTCTCTCTATATATATATACACACACACACATAAAAAATTCATACTCACTGTGTCAGTTCAAGTGTAGCTTTTCTGGAAAATACCCAAGCTACTTTTTCATCTCTGTTTTGGGGGATATCATTTTTATCTTCATAAGCCAAGAAATAAAGTGAAAATTTCATAGTAGGAAAATCAAATTTTTGGAGTAACCTGAAATTAAAAAAACAATACTCCTGAATCATTAACAAAATAATAGGCAGATTAATACCAAAGTCAACATAACTTAGTATTCAAGTTCTACTTAGAAAAAGAGCTATATGTAGTGAGGCTATTTTAATGGAAAAAGCGGGAGAAAAATGAATAAAAAAAAGCATTCAAGAAAATCCTATTCACCTATAAATATCAAGAAGTACAAAAATGAAAAATTTTGGAATCTGTCGATTCTTCAAATATAGTAAAATTCACTTGAAATTATGGTGCTTGTTTATAACTGGAAAGATAATTTCAAAAGGGAATATTGTTTACTTTTAGGGAAAAGTATAATGTACTACTGTGTGGTTCTTTCACATATATATGCCATTCACTTAAATATGTTTATTGAGTTCTTACTATGGCAAAACTTCTAGGAAAGGAAATTGGGGAGAGATGGTAAGAGAGAAGGGAAAAGGACAGGTTACTATAATAGAAGACATGAATGTCAATAGTAAGACAATTAAGAGTGTCAAATGCTGTGGACAGCCAAACGCGATCGAGCTCAGACCAGCCAGGAGCTATGGCGAAGTCCCATGAGAGCAGCTGCAGGAATGGGCAGCACACTGGATGCACTGGACTGGGAACAAGAGAATGGAAGGTGAGTGAGTTGACTCTCAGCAAGAGCATTTACCACTACAGATGGTGGGTGACAGCGGGAAGGTGGTCCAGAGAGCAGAGGGCCACAGACACTCCCTTTACAGGCTGAAGGG